TATATATATATATTTCTCTCTCTTTCTGTTTCTGCCCCTACCCGAGATTGGACAACTTGCCGAGATAACAGACATCTCAGAAACAGAATCGTGTGTCTCAGTCTATATCGATATGTAATGCTGATATCTATGCATTTAGGTATAGATCTATTTATATATTACCATACGATATACCCTTGTAAATTAGGTGTCAGTTTGGGAAAAATATTGTGATATTTATTTATTTATTCAAATTTTTAAAAGAATAATAGTTTTTCATTAATTGTAACAGTCTTATGCTCCAATACTGTTCGTCCATTTGGGAATAATTTTCAAATATAATACAGTTATTCTTTTGTTACAGTTCCAATGCACCAATGCTATGCGTCCGTAGTGGTCTTCCTATGTATCTTGTACCTCTAACTCTCTCTCTCACAGTGAGTGTTGTAAGGTGTCCTGCCCCTGAAGATCTCACAGCCAGCAGTATCATAACCACCCCTAGACTCGACTCTTATCGGTATACTATAATATACAAATGTGCGGCAGCACGGTAGAATCAGGCTCTCGTCAATGTTTGGGCACATAGAGTTATTGATGTCATCTTAAAGCTGGTTCAATAATGTCTTTATTTGGAAGAAAATTTATCTTAAATACAAGTCGAGATATTTGAGAATGAAGGAGGTGGGGGGTCACCTGTTTTCAGAGGTAAAATTAGTGAGAAATTGGCCGCCAAAGATTCGTTATTACCTAAGCTTAAGAGTTCATGGTAACTGAAAATTTACATCTTTTGTGCCTTTAATCAATGTTTTTCAGAAATATCCACACCGAAATGATTTTTTAATGGGCATGAAAGGTGTTGTGCCAAAAAACAAAAATTTGATAAAAATCCACAAACCTGCGGAAAAATGCAAGTTTATTCACTTTGATCATTTTGACGAGAGCCTGATTCCACCACGCTGCCTCTCAAATTACGCTGTTGTGGATAGTTTTGCTTTGAATCCTTTGGTGGTTGGGTTATGATGTGGTTTTAAAGAGCTTTTATTAACACTTGGATGTAATGCAAGTAAGTGGATTCTGGGCAAGAAATGGAGAAAAAAAAGGATATTTTGTCTGTGTTTGTTGCTTGGATTTTTAAATTTTTTTAAAAATTTAGCTACAAAGAAAGAAAATGATAAGAGAGAGTGAAACAGAGAGAACGAGAGAGAAAGGGACAGAGTGAGAGTGTGAGAAATAAAATTAAAGAGAGAAAAATTGGTAGAGAGCGAGAGGAACAGAAAGAGAGAGAGAGAGAGAGAGAGAGAGAGAGAGAGAGAGAGAGAGAGAGAGA